TTCGTAACAATTTGAGAATGGATCAATCCCTATCCCACCTTTAGATCCGAAATGTAACACATGTTATGCTGATACCACGATGTCCAATTCTGCCACTGACCACCTTGATATGATAACATGACTGTGGTTGAAGTTGGTTGCTATGTAATAATAACGAATAATCTCTTTAGAAAAAGACTTCTTACTTTGCGGAAAAATAGTGGGTGGGAGTACGAATATGTGCACGCCCTAATGAATGTACGGGACGGCTAATTCCTAGAGAAGTATGTTCGATGTGATAATACGTAGGTTGATTAATATCGTTATCAATACTAGCTATATTTACGGCTAAAAATACACTTGCTTTTAGCGGACTAATCAGATTGAAACTAAGAGATACAGTAAATTATCGCTCTAGCTAAAAGTTTTCCATTAAGCAAGTAAACAATAGAAACTGTATATTACGTTTCTAAAATACAAAACTTTCTTTATGCGCATTTTTTTACATTTTCATTCAAACTTGAGCATGTTCAAGATTTCTAATCTCTAGTGCTTTAGAGAATTGTTAAGCTATTGCATATCTTTTATCGCGGACTTTGAGCGCGGCGACCGAATCAAGAAATTCTGTAACGAAAATAAAACCTAACACCCCACTCCGCCTAGAGCGCGGCGTGACGTCGCACTGCATGCGCATTATGAAAAGTCTGCCCATCTCTTTCTCGCGCGGTCTAGCTTATGAGTGTGAAGGGGACAATTAATGTTTTGCTGAAAGCCTATTACAAATTTCCCTCAAAATAGACTAATCAATAGGCAGGTTTGTTTAATCATAGTTAACTATAAATTTTAAAGTCAGAATGTATGTTCACTAGAAACTGGGCCGATTTCGATGAGATTTTTAAGAGATCTACAGATTAATTGTATGGTGATGCTTTGAAGCTTAGCAGCGATTGGATTGAAGTCGTAATCCACCAGCAAAATGAATCTGACTAGAACATAACAAAACATAAACCACTATCGAACTAAAATACTACATATAAACGGCCGTCTGGTGTAGTGGTAAGTGACATGGTCACTACACAAAGGGGTCGCGGGTTCGAATCCCGCCAAGGGAAGATATTTGTATGATAAATATAAAAATGTATTTTCTGGGTTATGGATGTATATTAATTATATGTATGTTTATAATAAAAAAAATACATTTATTACCGTTATCTGGTACCTGTAACACATGTTCAAGCAGCAACAAGCAGCAACAAACAGCAATTCATTTTTATATATAGATTATGCTTTTCAAAACTCGGTGACGTTACGGAGCGTGAATGGTCTGAAAAGCAAAAAAATACGTGGTTTTAATTACGGCATACAAAGCTGAATCTTATCAGGACTGAATTACCAGATAACGAGTGATGAAAGAGCCGACCCTTCCACTGGTGTTGAGACGCGACGAAGCGCCGGAAAAAACGGGATTTTTAATTAAAACCTCATGGAGATAAGTTTGAGAAACGCTGAAATTGATATGTCGGTACCCTACGTTGAGATAAGGTAATTTAATATGCCTTTTAGTGTTCATTTTTAATTATCTTATAAAGGAAGCTTTGAGAGCATACCAAGAACTTGGAAGCTTATTATCTTTGAAGCACTAATTAAAAATTTACTGTCATAAAGTATACACTAGAAAACGTACCCAGAGAACAAGATTCATTTTCAAGTATATAGTCAAGATAGAGATAATTTATCGATATATTTCAATGACAGTTTTTAATGATTTCGATGACTGGTGCATCCAATAAGAATGCTATATTAAATAAACTTTCGTTGCTTGTTCTGTTTTTTAGTCTCGGAGTATTTGACGGATACAGAGTCCAAATAATTTCGTTCTTTTATTTTTATTTTATATCTCTTAACCAATACTAGCGATTCAAGCGCAACAGCGCCCCGCCGTTATTGACGTTACTATTAAACAGAAGTCAATTACGGGATTCTCTCAGGTCTTTGGGAGTAGTCGATGTAATTTAAGCTGCTTTTTAATTATCGCTATTTCCGACTATTGGAATGCGCAGCGGACACAAACAATCTTATTCATTATTTTACTACCATTCTTTTGTTTATAAATAAAACTCACCGAACAGAAGATACGATTATAATTGTTCTAATTTTAAGAGTAACTTTTTATTTTTTGAATTTACTTATTATTTTCTATAATAAAACTACCCCCTCGACTCTAGCTGTGAATCTAAAAGCTAGATATTCGTGCAACTTATACATAATTCAAAACTTACGTATCAACTGCAATGCGGCGTACCTTCGGACCGGATCCGGCCCGTTGGGACGCCTTGTAATTGCACTACGAACATCTGATTAAGATTCATCGGATTTGGTCGGTTCGTTTGCTTTAAGAATGCGCGGTGTTTCAGATTTGGTCCGGTTCTTTATTGTGCTGCTGTTTATATTGGATCTTATGGTTTTTTTTTTAAACACAGAACCAACGGCTTTAAACTCAACAGCCATATGTAGTATTTTAAGTCAATACGAATGGAAACTTACATACCTGATAAATATAACTAAGCCACATCAAAAGAAAAAATCGCCCAAAATCTTTGATTAGGGTAAATAGGCCAAAGAAGACATGGATGGAGTGTGTGAATAATTTTTTCTTATTGCTTAGATGGGTGGAGGAGCTCACAGCCCACCTGGTGTTAAGTAGTTACTGGAGCCCATAGACATCTACAACATAAATGCGCCACCCACCTTGAGATAAGTTCTAAGGTCTCAAGTATAGTTACAACGGCTGCCCTACCCTACAAGCCGAAACGCATTACTACTTCACGGCAGAAATAGGCAGAGTGGTGGTATCTACCCGTGCGGAGTCACAAGAGGTTCTACCACCAGTAAAAAATTAAATATGAGAGAGAGAGAGAGCAGTAAGTATAGAGATAACGGCTGATAAAAGAGAATGGAATCGAAAAGTTTGCTGTGCCGACCCCACCTAGTGGAATAAGGTGGAGACAAATAAAAAGAAGAAATAGGCTGAAGAACTGAAACCCCATCAGGTGTTTAGTAATTATTGAAGTCAAGCATTTGTGTAATGACATAAATGACAACAAACACCTTGGTGTCGAAAGTCTCCAATTAATCTTATATTTGCTAAAAACTTACACGTGTGTATTGCAAATTTAATTATCTGTGCCGCCTAAACTATAGTTAATCAGACTTTTTGGCGGGAACGCGAGGAGTGAAGTTGTGTGATTTGTTTTATTTTTTTCAGGTTTAAATGTGTAATAACGGTGGTTTATTAACTGTTTAATATCTGTGAAATTGCACAAATGTGTGAAAATGAAACAAAGCCGCTAGACGTCCGATCCTCCAAAAAGTCCACTGAAAAAATCTCAGTAAATGACTACCAATTCATTGAGATTATATTTCATCCTATATCATCTCATCGCATTTCATTTCATTTCATCCCAGTTGATTAATGTCTCAAATTAATCATCTTCATTTCATTTCATTTCACTCCATAATGTTATCATTTTTCATAAAAATAAGATAATAAATTAAAATAAGACATGACTTAAAGGTCTTAGTGACCAGGTCATAAAATCCTTTAAAAAAAATATAGATATTCAGTGCCAACACTAAAAAAAAACAATGTTCCGAATTCAAAAGACGAGTTCTATAAGCCCTGACTAGATTCGGCGGCGGCTACGATAACGAATGCGAATTTTGAAATATGCCGAAACTTTTTCGTCGAAGTTTCGAACTGTGCTTGTTTTACGTTCATTACCGGGAAACCTTTACGTACGGAAGGTATGACAGTTTTAATGTTGCCGTACGTATTTACTTGGGCCGCGGTCGGCAAACCGAGCTTCTATCTCTTCTGAAACTCATAAGGATTATAATCAACGTAAGCTGCTGGTAGGACCTCTTGTGAGTCCGCAGGGGTACGTACCACCACCCCGCCTATTTCTGCCGTGAAGCAGCGTTTCGGTTTGAAGGGTGGGGCAGCCGTTGTAACCATACTGAGACCTTAAAATTTATATTTCAAGGTGGGTGGCGCATTTACGTTGTAGATGCTTATGGGCTCCAGTAACCACTTAACACCAGGTGGGCTGTGAGCTCGTCCACTCATCTAAGCAATAAATAAAAAAAACTTTATCGTTACCTAATTTGATATAATAAAAAAAACCTAAATTAAAAATCACCTTTTAAATCTACTTAGCATTACTTTGTTACACTTCAAATTCATTATGTAAGTATATGAAGATCTGCTTATAAGGAAATCTTTTTGTGTTTGATTTTCTCGAGCCGTAGTTTTTAAACTTTAAATCTCCCTTTTTTATTTTCATTATACCTATTATTACTGAAGTTACATTTTGATTCATTTCTGAAGTTGCGTGGTCACAGACGACTAATGTGTCAACCTGTGGACGGAGTTTTAATTAAGTCCTGGTTAGTCCTATTATAAAATTATGCATTTTCTCCGCAATATCGCACATAACCATACAAGACAAATAGGGAACGGTAACTGAAATGTGTGCGCTGCTAGCGCCATCTATTATTCTAGGCACACAAACGTCTATGGCCATGAATGAACCAGAACGCATGCGCACTACTAATCGATCCACAACAGCCGACAATAAATAATGTATTTGACTTCATGCTAAAAAATATATAATATATTTTGTTATCGATTACTCATGTCAGTTACATTAAACGGAAATAATGGAATTCTAAATTCAATTTCTTTAGAAATTACCATCTAAAGCTATATGAAAACAGATCTGAATTGTTTTTAAATTTGATGCGTATTTCAATAACAATTAAATTTTAATTTGTACTCTTTTAAACTCTATCCGTTTATGAGTCAAAATAAGCCTAAACTCACTATTTTCATGCAAACACAAACGAGTGGTTTCAGTAATAAATTGTCAATTTCGGAGTCGGCGCAGTTGCGTTGTGTTCACCGCACTTTCCCGCCAGTAGCGGCGCCACTGTCGCGCGCACCTCTCGGGCGTGCTGTCAAAATTTCCATTTACAATAATACTTTTTTATTTACAAACCCATTTACAAATTCTAATTTACAATAATTAAATACAAAGAAAATGCATCGCGGAAACACTTTATGAATGCTACGTGCCAAATTTTTGTCGTGTGATCGGAAAAAAAATGTCTAAAGCTATTTTTGTCGTGTTTTTTTGTAGTTTTACTGTATGTTACGCGAATCCTGACGCGAAGAGGCTATATGATGATTTATTGAGTAACTACAATAGACTGATTCGGCCTGTTGATAAGAATAACAACACCGTACTAGTGAAGCTTGGGCTACGTCTGTCCCAGTTGATTGATCTGGTAAGTGTTTTCTAAACAATCCAATATCTTAATTAAATACTAAATTAAAAATTAACATGTTTATGTTCTGTCTGTGAAAAAAAGGCATGTAAACGAATATGACTAAAGTTTCAAATATTACAGAACCTTATTACAATTTTAATTATAAAATACACAGTATTAACCCACTGAGTTTCTCGCCGAATNCGTCTGTCCCAGTTGATTGATCTGGTAAGTGTTTTCTAAACAATCCAATATCTTAATTAAATACTAAATTAAAAATTAACATGTTTATGTTCTGTCTGTGAAAAAAAGGCATGTAAACGAATATGACTAAAGTTTCAAATATTACAGAACCTTATTACAATTTTAATTATAAAATACACAGTATTAACCCACTGAGTTTTTCGCCGAATCTTCTCAGTGGTTTGCGCTTCCGACGCAGTGATAGATTCAGCGAAGCAATGCTTTTGCTAGAGAGTCTGTGTTAACAATGTTTGGGCTCGTGAGTGCTCAGACGCGTAAATAAAATAGCCCCTTAGGCTACCAACGATTAAGTAAGAAAACAAAGACAATATAAATCGATGTCAAAGTAATATTTTATCGATATTTTTGTGCTATATCGATTGACTGGCCCGAAATGAGGCAACTTGAGCCTAAAGACATCTCAACGCGAATACTATCGGCCATCTATCGAATAAAAATAATATATTATATATAAAAATAAAAATAATAAATTATGCTACAATATTTAGTATTAGGACTTATTTTATTATTAATTATTATATATTAGGGCTTATTTTTACCACGTATTTATACGTGGTAAAAATAAGCCGGACGTTGATACTGGCATATCTGGACTGTGTTTCCCAATAATCGAAATTTGACGATAATCATTTACATTTTACTGATGGTAGGACCTCTTCTGAGTCCGCACGGGTTGGTATCACCACCCTGCCTATTTCATGCGTGAAGCAGTACTGCGTTTCTGTTTGAAGGATGGGGCAGCCGTTGTAACTATACTGAGACCTTAGAACTCATATCTCAAGGAGGGTGGCGGCATTTACGTTGTAGATGTCTATGGACTCGGGTAACCACTTAGCACCAGGTGCGCAGCATTTCAAGTTTAAATTTCTTTTTATTATGTTATTGAAAGATACATAAAACGTATTTTTATTATGTATAATATATTATGTCGTTTCTTTTTCGACAACGACATGTCAGTCGAATTAAATAATTTATTAGCAAAATACATACAATTGACTGACTGTATCACACAGTTCACAGGTCGTCTTATTTACTAGAAGTTACAGCGGGTAGGAACAGTTTTGTACGTGTTTAAACTTCGCAAACATATATGTTGGACGTATACACTATAGTGTTGGAGCTCGTTAGCTGGTTAAACATGACTGCCCTGAATTTAGATCGAAATCATCTCCAAGAGTAGAAGTTTCTAGACGAATTTCGTCTTCGAAGCGACTAGCCATGTATCACTACATAGTATAAAACAAAGTCGCTTTCTCTGTCCCTATATCTGTCTGTCCCTATGTATACTTGAATCTTTAAAACTACGCAACGGATTTTGATGCGGTTTGTTTTAGTAGATAGAACGATTGAAGAGGAAGGTTTATATGTATAATAACATCCATTAAATAGTAGTGAAATCAATAATAAATTACAGTTTCCGAAGCGAAGCGAGGGCGGGTCGCTAGTTTATTTATATAATAATCAATAGTACCAACAGATCGATTGCTGGTTCAGAAAGAATAATTTCTATGGGTACAAAACCCAATGCGAATACTCGTAAACCAAAAAGGGAAATTGAAAAATAATACAATACAATGAAAAAAACTATAAACATCTAAATTAAAACGATCACAGGAGTACCCCAAATAATTGCTTACAATACAATAATCATTATATTTTTTCAGTTCGATCCATTAGTTCTAAGGACTATGGTTTTTTTTGATCGGTGACATAGACAAAAAAATTATGTTCAAATGTAATATCTATGTATGATCCTGCTTGCGTAGATAATTACGACCCTCAGTGTTGAAGTTCGTGGCCTTCCTAAAAAAAAAAAAACTTTATAAAGTTATCAACTTTATTTTATTCACAATGAATTATAAAAAATATAAAATAAAAAAATATGTTATTTTTTGTACGTTATTACAAAGTTAAGTCGTACACTGTGTGCATTACCAATAAAAATCTTACGTTACGGACGTTTTTTCCCGGTTAGGGTACCCCTCCGCATCGTCCCATAAGGAACTTCGTTCCAAAAAATACAATGTTCATAATAACATTTAACTTTGAAGAAATCTTCATCATCAGCCTGTATGTCTCCACTACGGGATGTAGGCTTCTTCCATAGTCCGCCACAATGAACGACCCTCCGCTTTCCGCATCCACTTTTTTCCAGAATATCGCCTTAAATTCTTAAAGATGTTTAATTATCATGACTAATTGTGTATAATACTACGCCACTATCTATTCTATCTAATATTAAAAAGCTGAAGAGTTTGTTTGTTTGAACGCGCTAATCTCAAGAACTGCTGGTCCGATTTGAAACATTCTTTCAGTGTTAGATGGCCTATTTATTGAGGAAGGCTATAGGCTGTATTACATCACGATAAGACCAATACAAGTGGAGCACCAATAAAGAATGTTTCAAAATAGGGATTTAAATAGCTCCTTAATATTCTATAATTCAAAAATATTTTCACTTTCTACGTAAATAAAGGGGGGGGGTAAAAATTAGCGTTACGCCAAAGTAACTGTTCCACGCGGACGGAGTCGCGGCCAAAAGCTATTTACGCCATAAATAGACACAGAAACACAGCAAGCTAAGTCACTGTCTAGCTTTACTTAAGCCACTGAACCAAGACGCAAACAGGGTAACAAAACTTACCCTTAAATTACATCTAAACTTGTGCATTGAATTCCACACGTGGGACGGTAGCGTGGAATCTTAACTATCGCATAAAGGGCTCCTTGGTACGCGAACTGTAACTATGTTTCCAAATTGTATCCATGTTGGCGGTATTTTATACGCTTTATATTAAGCTTGTCGTGCTGTGTGAACAAAAAGAAATACATTCTTAACTATTGTATAATACAGGTATCCATCCTATAACACGATATTTAACACGAAAACTAGACCCTATCTTGGATCCATAACAGATCATTTNCATAAAGGGCTCCTTGGTACGCGAACTGTAACTATGTTTCCAAATTGTATCCATGTTGGCGGTATTTTATACGCTTTATATTAAGCTTGTCGTGCTGTGTGAACAAAAAGAAATACATTCTTAACTATTGTATAATACAGGTATCCATCCTATAACACGATATTTAACACGAAAACTAGACCCTATCTTGGATCCATAACAGATCATTTCAAATATATTCTTAATATTGACTCCCAAATAAAACGAAATTGAAGCTGCGGGAGAAATCTAATATCTTGAAGGAGATACCTTATAGCATTATACAGCTCGTGTCACAGTAGAGCTGAATCCATCTACCATTTCTTCGTACTGCTGCTTGCGTACTTCGAGTGTTGGAGGTGCGTGCTTGTAGGTCAGTTCCGCATGCCAGACACGGTCGAAGGCTCTCTCGATATTGAGAAAGACTGCGGCCGCGTACTGGCGTGCATTGGACCGATCCGCCAAGAGGTGTACAATGCGAACCAATTGCAGCGTTGTCGAGTGACCGTTACGAAACCCGAATTGCCGCACATTTTTCTCAGACCCGCTGAAAATGATGTGCAGCGACATCCTTCTCAGCAGCAGCCGCTCGAACAACTTGCCCATATGCGACAACAGGATGATCGGAAGATAACTGGGCTGCAATTGTCTGTCTTGTATTTAAATGAACACAATTTGGAATACTTTCAGCTTAACAACCATAGATTTAAACAAAGCTCAATTAATTAATCATGCCTAGCATGTAGTGTTGATGCCAATCGTGTATGACACTACAAGTCCTTGTCACTTCTAAGACGACAGATCGAATATTCATTGGCCAATTGACTTACAACAGCCGAATTAGGACACCGTGTTCGTTTAACTTAAGTGTCCTATTGTGATTGCTTCTGTCGCTTCTATAACTTGATGCGTCTGTATTTCGCCCCGCCAATTGTCATCGACTTTCATAGCTGATTCACTGCTTTATTTTAAATGCAAAGTACTATTAAATGTACTTAGGAATTACAGTTTAATTTTAAAACCACCTATGAATAAGCTCGTAGAACTCATAAAATATATTGACGCTTGAAAGGCAAACGTGACTAAGCGACAATGCGTGAACTTTACAGTAGACTAATTTAAATCTGAAATACCTGAAAAAAATACTATTTTAACGAATCTAGCTGAAGGATTGAAATGATTTTAATAGACCTAGAAATACACTTTTTTTTTGCGCATCGAATATGGTTATTGCCTATCACTTATGCACAAAGCAGTTATTGTCGCTTAGTCACGTTTGCCTTTCAAGCGTCGATATGTAGTGTATAAATACAATCTAAAGCTGAAAAACAATTGAAAAACTATTAGATGTTCTAGCCCAAAATAAAATAAATAAACTGTACATAAGGACACAAAAAATATTCAGTGTCTAACTGAAGTTAAATATCGGTCGAGCATTACACATGAATCGACAACTTATTTTGACTGTACCAAATAAATAGCATGAATGATTATTTTTAAATGTTCTCTCTCTATCTATCTAGATTTTCGGGCCCTCTGAAGTAGCAAATAATGAACACCTATTATTATTAATCGTGACAATAACAAAAATATAAGTCTTTTGTCTTGACACAATTCACAGTTGTAGTAAANATATCGGTCGAGCATTACACATGAATCGACAACTTATTTTGACTGTACCAAATAAATAGCATGAATGATTATTTTTAAATGTTCTCTCTCTATCTATCTAGATTTTCGGGCCCTCTGAAGTAGCAAATAATGAACACCTATTATTATTAATCGTGACAATAACAAAAATATAAGTCTTTTGTCTTGACACAATTCACAGCTGTAGTAAAAACCAAATAATCAGGCTTAGAAATTACGAAGACAATAGTTGAGTATCATAAAAAGTAATTTAAAAATTTTGTTAAAAAGATGATGAGCCGTCGTTGTATAATGTAGTTTAGTTAAAATTGTTAATTAGTGCATATGTAAACACACGCCGTCACCGGCTCGCATCACTCATATGCTATATAGAAATCTGTTTATTAATTATAAGTTATTAAACCTAATAAAAGTCTTGAATAAACTTTCTACCGGGCCCGGGATTCACGCCCCGATAAAATCTGGAAGTAAAAAATATATTTGGAAAAACAAAAGAAGTAAAACCCCTATTCGACCGAGAATAATTCTCCAACGGATTACCGAAAAGCGGAAATATCCTACGATAATCTAGATCGAATCGAAAAAAAAGAGATATTCCTACATTTCCGTACTAAATTCGACATAATACAAGGTGCCGAAAACGACCTTTCTATAACAGAATTCTGTGGGACCAGTAAACATGAATCACTGGTTAAACGGCCATGAGGACTACTAGACTTGTCTTGGGCGGAGGGACTAGGGACGTTACTGTAACTAGATCGATTAATAGTGTTGGCTATCGTGTGATTGTACCGAAATGAGAGAATGGAATTTTGGAAAGGTTGTATATTTAATATTAAATTTTGATGCAAAAAATCATTGGTAATTAGTATTCCTATATATTTTTATTCCCTAAGATAATGGTACGCTTAATTTTGATATATCAAAAGAGAGATAACATGTATGCATAATTCTTATTTTGCCTTGGTAAAATTACTTACGTAACATTGGTTTCCGGAAAAGCATATCGAATGTATTTTTCAATCCAAATTCTGTTGAATCAAGAAATTGAGACGATTCAAACTACTTCAAACGATCCTCTTCCCTATTATGCTTTTTGGTATTCCAACGTGCTTCCACGACATCGTTTACTATAGACACATTTATTTTGATGAGCCAGGGAATTTGTTGGATCGCGGCCAAGATAAGAAAATCGATGGGCCACCAAGGAAATTTGGGTTAGTCTTAAGATTCAGTGGTTAACTTTCCGTTTGTACGTGAGCACTGTAATGCATCCCAATTAGGACTGTCCAATAAAAACGTCTTATTGAATGAGGTTTATGTCATTATCAACATCTAAAGGCTTTTTTTTGTTTTTCTGACTCTTTCGTTTCTTCAACTGCCTTCGAAGGCATACAAATAGGTGGTTTCTGGTGCTCATGAACTTAGCATTTGAACTTCAGTAAATGCTTTTTAAGCCTTGGTTTAAGAAGGAGATGTCAGTGTTGCGACAATCCGTTGTGAGTTTGAGTCTTGAATTTGATGAAAGACCTTGCGATACAAGATTGATCATTTGAGGAATGACTGTTGGTAGAACTATGATACACCTATTTTTTCCTTGCTATCCTATACTCTATAAATAATCCGAGGTGTTCTTACCACGATTCTTTTTAATTCGATTCTTCGAATTTCGAAATTTTGAGAGTTACCGATATTTGAACGCTATTGCAAAGGAAACAAAAACGGGATCATGGGTGGATTGAATGCTCAATCTAGCGCGCTGTCTAAGATATGTATAAAGTTGAATCTCAACCACTAGCGAACCCAGTTAATTAATGAAACGAATTTTAAATTGTTTGACGTTTAATTATTTTTTTGTTACAGAATTTGAAAGATCAGATATTAACGACTAACGTATGGTTGGAGCACGTAAGTACTGAAATTCTCTAATCTAAAATATCCTGCATATTTTTCCCAACAACTCAAATTGTATCTTCTTCTAATGTCATAGGAATGGGAAGACCATAAGTTCAAATGGGATCCCTTGGAGTATGGTGGTGTAAGGGAGCTCTATGTGCCATCTGAACATATCTGGCTGCCAGATATAGTGCTTTATAACAAGTAAGTTCAGTATATTCGTATCGTGCCTGGTTCGTTTTGGAGTAATATTGAACTGATAGTCTTAAGTAATATAGGCATTATCTTAATCCAATAAAAAACTCAACGGCATTGTGTAACGAGGATAACAAATCTAATTAAAGACTTAACTTACCTTCTGTAATCATTTGAGTCAGGGCAAAATTGAATGGATTATAAACAATAAGATGTGTAGCTTATTTCTTAGGTGGCTGAGCGGTGGTAAAACGTCGTTTGAGGCCGTTCGGGTAGGTATCGCCCTGCCTATTGCTGCCGTGAAGCAGTAATACGTTTCGGTTTGAAGGGTAGGGTAGCCATTAAACTTTGACCTTATAACTCATGTCCAAGGTGGGTGGCGGCATTTATGTTGCAGATGTTCCTGGACTCTGGTAACCACTAAGTACTAGGCTCGTAAGCCGTAACTTCGATCACCCATCTAAGTAATCAAAATAAACTAAAATAATGTTGGAATATTATAATTGATTTCAACTTATATCCCGCTGAGCTTGTGACTCAAAGCTCAGATATTATTAAATTCAAATAGCTCAGAATCAGATAACAATACAAAACCTAGGTTGATATAGTAGATCAATTTTATACTGTGCAATATTAAAAAAAACGTCGTAAATGATAAATCACTATATTTTACTCGTCTTTTTAGATTACTTCGTTTGTCATAAGGGCAGGTTTTATAACTCACCTAGATTTGACCGATTGCTGAACAAGCTCACAACCAGAATTAGTCCACCAAGAGATAAGATTTCAATTTATATTTAAATAATGTTGGTCTTAAACTAGGACCCCTGAGCTGTCGAAGTAGGCAATATGGTTTTATTTAACCCAACTAACCCAAATACAAATGTATTACCCAAACTCCAATTTGCCAATAAACGCGATAATCCCAAATACTGTAATAACCGGAACTGAAATTGCATGTTGTAATATCACATCCTTCCCAACTTGGTCGTACAATGCGATTTCCCGGTGCCTAATGCTCGCAGCTACGGTCGAAGTTATACTAAGTACTACGTCGATATTAATTAAGCAATTACATTGGGAATAGCTTGAAGAATTATCTAACGTTGTTAGGTTGAAAATGTTATTTGAAAATAGTTAAATAAGTAGAAGATAAATTTTTAAGACTATTTATAATATATTGAAGTAATTCGTGGATTTACATGGACATTGTGATAAGATTATCTAAAAATGTATATATTCCATGATACCACGAGATAAAGCTAAATGAGTAATTTTTATTTATGCCGACGACTGGAGAAATCCGAAGAAAATACTTGTTCAATTGGGTGCTTTAGAATCTGTATCAAGATTTAGAAAGAAAAAATTCCGCAGTAAATTAATTAAGAGCACACAATGTTGACGAGAAAACGTTAGGAAGTGATACATCAAGCCACGTCATAACAAACCAGCAACTATTAATCATAAAGGATGGTTGGAAACGCACGTGCTAGCTCAAACGATGTATGGCTGCCTTATATATTATTTTCCTTCTTCATAGTCAGTGCTCAGGGCCCATTAAACATAAATAGCACTGTCCGTCTTGAAACAAAAGCCTTATAATCACTATAATTGGAGATTTGGTTATCCTGAAATTTTTTTTCAAGAGTACAGCGATAATTATGACAAATAAAATGTGGACTGAGTAATAAAGAGATTTTACTTTTAGATGGTCAACGTTTATTAATAATGATCATAAAATTACGAGAACACGTGTTAGGCACATCATTCTTTCGAAAAATCAAAATGAGTACTGGACAACGATTCTGTATGCTACGGCCAAAGGTGATATGCCCATATTGGCTTGCCATCCGATTTTGTTGAAGTTCCTGAAACGGCTTCCCGCCGTCCACCCCTTGTAGTACCATCACCAGAAAAACCAAACCAAACCCAAGCCATTCCAAAAAAAGAAATAAACCAAAAAAGGAGTCACCGAAACTAAGCATATGATTATATTCTCATATATTTATTTACGATCAGCCATAAATAGCAATACATTACGATTCGTTTTGATGTCTCCGTACTCCGCACCGAATTTGATTACTTCTTGTACATTTGCGGGAGATAAATAAAATAAAACATGATCCTGCACTTTTGTTCGAACCGTAAAATTTTTAATGGCATTCGAAGATCTTTCTAAATTTGCTACCTAAATATCTTCGGTTTTTGTTTGGTAATCTATAGATGCATAGCAGGTTTATGCTGCAACGCAATCACATGTATGAGTTTGAAGGCTGAAACGACTTTTACACAGTATTGAGATTATAATCTAATGCCTTAAGCTTAAGTGACATTCATGTTATTTGTGTCTCGAGATTACCAAACCAAGTAGTGGTGTCCAAGTTGAAGTCGTCGTGGCCTAAAGGATAAGACGTCCAATGCATTCGTATCTTGGGATGCAACGGTGTTCGAACCCCGCAGTCGAGTACTAATTTTTCTAATGAAATACGTACCTAATTAACAATTAATGACGTTCACAATTGACTTCCACGGTGAAGGAATAATATCGTGTAATTAAAATAAAACCTGCAAAATTATAATTTGCGTAATTGCTGGTGGAAGGACCTCTTGTGAGTCCGCGCGGGTAGCTACCATCACCCTGCCTATTTCAGCCGTGAAGCAGTAATGCGTTTCGGTTTGAAAAGTGGGGGCAGTCGCTGTAACTATACTGAGACCTTAGAGGTCATATCTCAAGGTGGGTGGCGTATTTACGTTGTAGATGTCTATGGGCTCCGGTAACCCCTTAATACCATCTATGCAGTAAAAAATAAAAATAAAATATTAGGACCAAACAGTGACAACATCTGCCAAATATGGAAATAACAATCCACACTTTTGTTCAGTGCCGATGGTGAGTATGTTGTGACGACTATGACGAAGGCTGTGCTGCACCACAATGGAAAAGTGCTTTGGACTCCACCGGCCATCTTCAAGTCCTCCTGCGAGATCGACGTTCGATACTTCCCGTTCGATCAACAGACTTGTTTCTTGAAATTCGGATCTTGGAGCTATGATGGTGATCAGGTACAGCTTAATATAATTTTTAGATTGTAACGAAAATTCCGCTATTACTTGGAAACACTGTGTGCCCGTAATAAAATCAACCTCGTAAATACCACCAATCTAACAATTTCTACCAACTCTACTGGTGGTAGGACCTCTTGTGACTGCGCACGGGTAGGTAGTACCCTGCCTATTTCTGCCGTGAAGCAGTAATGCGTTTCGGTTTGAAGGGTGGGGCAACCATTGTAACTATACTGAGACCTTACAACTCATATCTGAAGGTGGGTGGCGCATTTACGTTGTAGATGTCTATAGGCTCCAGTAACCACTTAACACCAGGTGAGCTCGTCCACCCATTCAAGCAATAAATAAAAAAAACCCACTAAGCAAGTATACATTCCGGTTTTAAGACCACTGTTATTCAATTCAATTCACACACATCTATGATACTGTATCTTTCGAAGAACAACATACATGTATGAGCTTTTATATAACAAATTCTATAAAATGGTAATGGTAATGGTCACGTAAATTTTATATTCACTCATACTGATATAAATCAAGAAATTGCTCCTTAAGAGTTAATTTATTTAAACAACACGGATGAAGGGTAGAAAGAATATACAGAACAAAAAGATATCGCCAATTATAACTTATAAGTGATCACATAATCAATAGAGATTTTGCTCTAGAAGAACCAATTGAATAAAAAAATTCGTCTGTCACCAATTGAGAGACGAGTTCAGAATATTTACATCTATTTTTAAGGTTGTTAGTGAGCTCTAATATAAGTAGAAAACGGATACGGCATTAGGTAATTTTTATAGTGTGTGCTAAAAGGATTTTCTCAACAGATCGACTTAAAACATATCAACCAAAAAAAGGGGGACATGGTCGAAGTTGGTATAGACCTTCGCGAGTACTACCCGTCGGTGGAATGGGATATTCTCGGAGTACCGGCTGAAAGACACGAGAGGTATTACCCCTGCTGTCAGGAGCCGTATCCAGGTAAGTTTTTACGCCGTCTTTTACACAAATGCTTAAAAGAACAATTAAGATATATAGTTTCAGTCAAAGAAATTTAATTTGAAGATTAATGAATGAATGATCATTATCATTTTCCTGCCCTTCTACTAGTCACCTGGGATCGGCGCAACTTGTTTTCTTCTTCTATACTCCTTTATCATATGCCATTTCTTCGCTCACTCCCCTCTTACACATATCATCTTTCGCAGCCCATTATGGAATCCATCCATTTTTTCTTAGGTCTACCTCTTCCTTAAGATTAATTATTGAATAATGGTACTAAAATCAACCTGTAAATTGCATAGGCATGGTACGCGTGAATACTTTTTCTGTCTAAAAGCTATTATTAACTAACATAGAAATCAATTCAGATTCTCCTTAGGCCTCTTATTTCAAAGCTTAACATTAAATTCGGTTACCATAGAGGACTTCAGTATACTTTTAGTCAAGGAGGACTTTGGACGAATGTAACTGCTACACCCAAATTTCTCCTTCATAGAATATCAGAACTACCAGCAAGGACTTTATATGAACTATCTCGTGTTTCGCGAATACCGTTGGAATTATTACCTATATGTATTAATAAACTCTAAATTCAATTGGCTTCAGTAATAACATATCACCAGACGTAAAGTGAGTTCATTCACGCATCAAGTACAATAAAATTTAAGAAATAAAAAATTAAGCTTCAAGAATCAAGTTTTGTAGAAACACTTCGAATATCCCCAGTAGATATTTGTTTGCTATATCGCCAAGTTTCCCCTTCAACAGTCCTCAACGATACAGATACGGCATTTAAAATTCAAAACCCGTACACACGGAGCAACATAACAAGAGTTTAACCTGCAGGCGACAAGAACGCTGTAATTCAAGTTAGATAAGCGTCTTTGTACCGCCGTAATTTACGTTGGACGAGATTAGCTTTGTAGTGGTAGTTACCATGAGATCACGCTGCGAGATTGTCGCTTTTATTTTATTTATTTAGATACTTTTCTAGTTTTATACGAATCCAAATCTAACTTCTATTCAAATAGACATTTGTAAGTGCTTTTATATAATGATGATTTTACCAATGATTCTAAATGTAGTTTCATCATTGCGAAGAACTCTAAGGTCTCAGTATAGTTACAACGGCTACCCCACCCTTCAAACCGAAACGCATTACTGCTTTACGGTAGAAATAGGCAGGGCTGTGGTACCTACCCGTGCGGTCTCACAAGAGGTCCTACCACCAGTAATTACGCAAATTATAATTTTGCGGGTTTGATTTTTACTACACGATGTTATTCCTTCACCGTGGAAGTCAAGCGTGAATATTTGTTAAATACGTATTTCAGTAGAAAAATTGGTACCCGCCTGCGGGATTCGAACACCGGTGCATCGCTACATACGAATGCACCGGACGTCTTATCCTTTAGGCCACGACGACTTAGAAATATTTTAAATTAAAAATAGAAATACTAATAGAAACAGAGTTATTGTCTTAATACATTGCCAATCTCACATGTTAATCGTGTATCCTGTTTAAGAAACTGATCTGTGCCCTCGTGCTGCCACTATCAATTCATTTCTTTCGCAGAAATCACATCACTACAATTTTCTGCCTAACATCTTCTATTTCTGTCTCATATGAGTCTGCATGTTTTCAAAACTAGTCATGCCTTTCGGTTTGACGAGCAAGTCATCGATTATTACAATTTATAGTATACAAACTTATATTTGGAAAGTAACATAGATATATACATTGCTCTTGGTGAATCAATTCAGCAGCAATTACAAAAAAAAAACCGAAAAAGAGAAGCTGGCTTCCTTCCAGTATATTTTACTGCTATTATTCTCGATTGTTATATAACACTTATCAAAGAAATGCTTGTAAAATGCAATTGGTTATTAATATTATATTATATATTCTTTTGTTGGTATACAATAAAGAATACTCTCTCGCCCTCTCTCTCTCTCTCTCTCTCTCTAGTATTTAAAAAAAGACAGCTAATATAGAATGTTCTTCAGCTGTCGCGAGTTGAAGGCATAACTAAAAATATTTTTACACTTTAATCTCGCATCTATTGTTTTTATTATCTCCTACCTTTTACAAAATTTACAATTTTCGTGATTACGAATTAATAAAGTGCTATTCATAGAAGTTTTAATATTGTACGAACTACCGTAAAATTTTTAAAAGAAATTTAACTATGGATCTTTCTATTAGAATTAAAAGCGTCTTTAATTAACAGAGTCAACGCTTCACATTTTGTTATGAAGTAAGTGTACGATAATGGTATAGTCAAAATAATACTTATCATTGCTGTTCTCATTAATATTTTTTTACCCCAAATCAACAAACTATATTATTGCTTTTTTAAATATATTTCATAAACTCGTTTGCCGTCTAAAAAAGTTATTAATTGGAGTAGATAAATCTAATCAAAGTTTTAGAACTAAACGAATTACTCGGTTCGAAGTTTGATCGTGTAATATGCTTACAAGAGTTATAAATATAGGTTAACAAGTTCCGAGGAGTTGCCCCTGAGAGATGGAGCGTATTTTAGGGATCTGTCCTAATTTACGAGTTTATGTATCTCAAATTTTGGACAAACAGGCCTGATAGAAATGAAATCTGCCGAATTTCCGTCGCTCCCATGTTATATACTAGCTACCTCCTTATTTTTACCTTGAAGCAAGAATTTACTGGTGGAAGGACCTCTTGTGAGCCCGCACGGGTAGGTACCACCACCCCGCCTATTTCTGCCGTGAAGCAGTAATGCGTTTCGGTTTGAAGGGTTGGGCAGCCGTTGTACTATACGGAGACCTTAGAACGTATATCTCAAGGTGGGTCGCGCATTTACGTTGTAGATGTATATGGGCTCCAGTAACCACTTAACACCAGGTGGGTTGTGAGCTCGTCCAAATATCTAAGCAATACAAAAAAAAAAAAAAGTTCGACAGTTATAATTAAGATACAATGAATCCTTTGAAGTCAGAAATCAAATTAGGTGTCGAGGTCCGAGTTCTCATGACTAAGGAATTCATTAATTCAGCAATTGATAAAATTCTACGCATCAAGGTGTCGAGACCTTGATGGTTGAATGTAACTTCGAAGGATGTGGTTTCAATTCATACACCGGGCAAACATTGTGTGATGAATAAGTTTGTTGGCTCTTTGCCTGAAACTTCAATATTTATATTATGCATTTATTTAACGCATATAAGTATCTAGTAGATGATGACCGAGCTTTGCTCAGTTTTTTTTTTTGATAACGCTATCTTGTTGTGTCTTTAAAGCGGTTAGTTGCCCTCAATTAAGAAAAATAATATTATTATTCGCCAATAGATGTCGGGAAGAGTTGATTATTGAAAACACGAACAAAACAACATTTTCTGAAAATAAATCGGAGCTAGATCTTGATACTAGAAACTTTTATTTGTGAACAATACAGGTAAATGAAAATTTCAAATTAATTTCCAATACTGCAATTAATTACATAATCCTTTCTAATTTCCCAAATTCCATAAAAAATTGACCTCAGTCACTGAATTCATAAACACCGCCACTTTGTAATTTAAATTTAACCATTCCATAAATGCCTGAATTACAGAACAATTTACTGAATGGAGATAAAATTATAATGTAATACGCTTGTCGTACGACAATTTCCCTCGTAATTGTGGAATCTTCTATAACCCGAGGGGAATCTAAGCGTATAGCTCGAAGCACTTGTGTGTAATTATTTTCTTTCATTCAAGTCTTAGCTTAATAGCCCGCGTTGATTTGATTTCTTAATCTTACGTTCATTTCACAGATTTATTTTTATGTTCGTTTTACTAAAGGAAACCCTGTGAGCTTTAAGTTATCCATTATATAAAATTTGTAGACAAATTAGCACAAACCTTATGTCTTATAGACATGTGTTAAAATTTTATGAAAGGACTAGCTGACCCGGCAGACTTCGTAGTGCCTTAATCGATAAATAAAAGACCTAGACTTTTGTATAAAATAAACTTAAAACAAACAAAAGGAATCCGTCCGACGGGGGACACATCAAAGGAAAAACAAAATTGTTAATTTTATTTAATTCCGACCATTTTCATATTTATCTACCTTTTAAGCCTTCTCTGGACTTCCACAAGTAATTCAAGACCAAAATTAGCCAAATCGGTCCAAAGCCGTTCTCGAGTTTTAGCGAGACTAACGAACAGCAATTCATTTTTATTAAATAGATAATCAATTTTAAGACTAAAACGAAAGTAACTTATTTAAATTTCATTATTAAAATAATATAATAATTATAATGTAATAGAAAATCCGAAAAGATTAAGAAATAAAATTTCAAACATCACAACGCCATTAACCGTATTAGGATTCTTTGCAGCATCGAATCCATCTCTTTCGTGTTTAACTTCGACTCCATTTTCCGTCCAATACTGTCTGGTGCTTTCTTATTGCCACAAGAACGCCTACAGTCGTTTACCGAATACCAATTAAACGGTATCATTAGTCAGTCTGTCTGTTCCCGAACCGCGTAAGTGGCAAAAAGCTATTAAGACTCACCCGAATTGTTCCCTGCGTTTTGCGGTTTCAGAGATCCTGAAAAGCATTAGATAGTAATTTATCGATGATCGGAGTCTGGTCTGTTTACATTGTGCTAATGCGATTGGTGCGAGAATTAAGTATAGTCACAAAATTGTGAAGACGTCGTGGCCTAAGGGATAAGATGTCCGGTGCATTCGTGTTGAGTGATGTACCGGTGTTCGAATCCAAGGCGGGTACCAATTTTAATTTTTCTAATGTAATACGTACTCAACAAATGTTCACGATTGACTTCCACGGTGAAGGAATAACATCGTGTAATAAAAATCAAACCTGCAAAATTATAATTTGCGTAATTACTGGTGGTAGGACCCTTGTGAATCCGCGCGGATAGGTACCACCACCCTGCCTATTTCTGCCATGAAGCGGTAATGCGTTTCGATTTGAAGGATGGGGCAGCCGTTGTAACTATACTTGAAACCTTAGAACTTATATCTCAAGGTGGGTGGCGCATTTACTTTGTAGATGTCTATGGGCTTCAGTAACCACTTAACACCAGGCTGTGAGCTCGTACACCCATCTAAGCAATATTTTTTTTTTTTATCATGTATGTATACTTAAGACCTTAGAACTTATATCTCAAGGTGGGTGGCGGCATTTACGTTATAGATGGGCTCCAGTAACCTCTTAACACGAGGTGGGCTGTGAGCTCGTCCACCCATTTAACCAATAAAATAATAATAATAATAAGTCACCTCGAATATTCCGTAACACATCTTCAAACTTGCAATCAATACGTAAAGAAAAAAGCCGAGATCGTTCTTTAGTTTTACAATTATGTCCAGTATCTCAAAAGAAAGTAAAAACTTGGCGTTCTCAAGAAAATCTCTGTTCTCTTTACTAATCTACCCTCAGTACTTCAGATAGACAATAAGAAAATACTTAACAAAGAATGAAATGGACTCCTTTGTTCAGTTTCCTTATTTTGTAAATTGAAAACTTTCTTTATTACCACAACCGAATATTTTCTTGATAAACGAAAATTCTCATGAAACTATGCTTTTGCTTTTTTTATAATTGAAAGTTATACTCGCATTTTGTTTCTGATGAGTTCAAAGGTGTTTTTCATTTGTTATTCTTTTTTATAACTAAGTTTCTCGTTTGTTTCAGATATCTTCTTTAACATCACACTACGTAGGAAAACCTTATTCTATACTGTCAACCTAATCGTACCGTGTGTGGGGATTTCGTATCTGTCAGTTTTAGTATTTTACCTTCCCGCTGATTCCGGTGAAAAGATAGCCCTCAGCATTTCCATTCTTCTCTCACAAACTATGTTTTTTCTGCTCATTTCCGAAATTATTCCCTCGACTTCTCTAGCTTTACCTTTATTAGGAAAATATTTGCTGTTCACCATGTTGCTCGTTGGTTTATCTGTTGTTATAACTATAATAATACTGAATGTACATTATCGAAAGCCTAGTACCCACAAAATGGCTCCATGGGTCAGAAAGTTCTTTATAACAAAACTTCCAAAGTTGCTGCTGATGAGAGTGCCGAAAGATTTGTTGAGAGATTTGGCCGCGCAGAAGATTGCCGGTAGGAGTATGAAGAACAAGAACAAATTCAAAGATGCACTAGCAGCTGCCGATCAGACTCATTCTAATGCTTCAAGTCCGGACTCGCTCAGACATCACATGCCTGGAGGATGTAATGGACTGCATACTACAACAGCGACAAACAGGTTCTTTTTATACTTATTTAAAGCTTCTTCTCAGTCGTACACTCCTGACGGAGTGGTCATGATTATGTAAGTCTTATTGCTTTGTTGCGGCTTTCGCGAGGCTTCTCCATCTCTCTCTATTTGTGGCGGTACATGTACATTCAATACGGGAACACTTAGTGGATTAGTTAATCAAGTCTGTCCACCTGTGGGTGATTGGCCGCGTGAGCGTTGACCATCTATTTAAAGCTGTACTAGTATTTAATAATCTCAAAATGTATTATCATGGAAATTTATTGGTAATTATAACAGTGTTAGTCTATTAATACCCACAATAGCCCGTATAATGAACCGTGGCGATTTTATCGTGGTAAACGGATTCGATTCCTGTTTGGAATCAGTATTTAGTGTGTTTATGTTTGCATCGGAGTTTGACCACACTTCTCTGTGGCCTTATGTATGTTTTTTTTTTAATTGCTTATATGGTTAGACGAGCTCACAGCCCACCTGGTGTTAAGTGGTTACTGGAGCCCATAGACATCTACAACGTAAATGCGCCACCCACCTTGAGATATAAGTTCTAAGGTCTCAAGTATAGTTACAACGGCTGCCCTACCCTTCAAACCGAAACGCATTACTGCTTCACGGCAGAAATAGGCAGGGTGGTGGTACCTACCCTCGCGGACTCACAAGAGGTCCTACCACCAGTAAGTAGTTTTTTGTGGTACTCAATATACATAACAAAATCCTGGCATGAAACCTGTGTATATGACACGTTTAACATATGTATTTACTGCATAGATAGATGAACGAGCTCACAGCCCACCTGGTTTTATGGTCCCATAGAGATCGCAACACGAATGCCGTCATCTTAAGACTTGAAGTTTATGTCTCAATTGTATAATAATAACGCAAATTATAATTTTTTCGGGTTTGGTTTTTGGTACACGATGCTATTCCTTCACCGTGGAAGTAATTCGTGAACATATGTTAAATATGGATTTTATTAAAATTGAAACCTGCCTGCCGGATTCAAACACCGGCTTAGCTAACATGTATTTGAAGTCTAATACTTTAAGCCTCAACGATTACAAATATATAGATACTTAATATATAAATATGTATAATGACGGCATGGAATAGTTTTTGTAGGAAAACTACGTGGTTGTTGAAGAAATAATGAAACGTTTTTAGGATCACAATATAACTCGCATTTATTGGTAGAAAAGTATAATATTACATAGAATGTCAGCTTGACAAGTAGTACAGAGTACAGCGCCCCAGGCGTAAGACAAAGAGAAACTAAAATGGCTGCATTCCATTTCTCTAACACCCTCCCTTGGAATGCAACCCCATTTTCGTTAAACAATACAAATGTTTATCAACACTAGTACCCTTAGTTAAATTATCAGCTATCATTTCCTCACCCTTTATATAACAATACTTTATATTTAAGTTACTGACATGGTCTTTGAGAAAATGATAACGAATATCAATATGTTTTGATCTGGGTAAATAGCAATAATTATTTGATAATTTTATAGCACTCTGATTATCACAAAAGATGATGAGAGGGTTGTTCTTCTGTTGACCGAGCTCGGTATGTAATTGTTGAAGCCACAACGCTTCCTGCGCCGCTGACGACATCGACATATACTCGGCTTCAGCAGTGGAGAGAGCGACAGTCTGTTGCTTTTGAGAGCGCCAAGATATAGCACCATCCTGTAANTAAACATATTTGGGCCCATCTTGCTTATCTTCACGAGGAATATTCAATTTTTGATGAACGATCCTACCCTTCAATTTGAATTGCAACGACAATTTTTTCGGATTGAAGTTTTGTCCACTTTATTATTATTTCCAGCTATACCACAACTAAACACAACTGAACCACGCTCTGCTACCATGTAGGAAAACTACGTGGTTGTTGAAGAAATAATGAAACGTTTTTAGGATCACAATATAACTCGCATTTATTGGTAGAAAAGTATAATATTACATAGAATGTCAGCTTGACAAGTAGTACAGAGTACAGCGCCCCAGGCGTAAGACAAAGAGAAACTAAAATGGCTGCATTCCATTTCTCTAACAGTTTTGTTTAAAGTATAAATCCAATAAAACGTCGCTTAACTTTGTAACAGATTTAGCGGTCTCGTTGGAGCATTAGGAAGCCTCGGTGCTGGATATAATGGTCTACCTTCCGTGATGTCAGGCCTCGATGATTCCTTGAGCGATGTGGTTCCGAGGAAGAAGTATCCGTTTGAATTAGAGAAAGCTATCCACAACGTCATGTTTATACAACATCACATGCAACGCCAAGACGAATTTAATGCGGTTTGTAATAAGACGTTTATTTTGGCTTAATCTATTATGACTTAGCAAAAGATAAAATTATTAAATTTTATTCGTTTTTTCTTTTTTTGGATTTTTCTAGTTATTAATAGTTCTTATTTTGAAAATAATATCATTTGATAGAATTAATATTATGGGACATTACTATTCTGATTGCGATGTTACGGTACTTGCGACAGCGGGTACGGAAATTGCTCGTAGAACGGATGGCCATTGGGGCAGAAAAGTTCTGGAGTGGCGACCGTGTATCCGGAAGACGTAGCGTGGGTAGGCCTCCCACAAGATGGACCGACGACCTATTGAAGTTGGAGGAGATCCGCTGGATGTAAGCAGCGCAGGATTGATCTTTGTGGCGAGGCTTGGGGGACGCCTATGTCCAGCATTGGACGTCTGTGGGCTGATAGAATAGAATAGAACTAAACTGATTAAAAATTAATTATATTTAAAAAAATACAGGAAGATCAAGACTGGGGATTTGTGGCTATGGTCTTGGATCGTCTGTTCCTGTGGATCTTCACCATAGCTTCCATAGTTGGTACTTTCGCAATCCTATGCGAAGCCCCGTCTTTGTACGACGACACGAAACCGATTGACATGATGCTGTCTTCTGTAGCCCAGCAGCAGTACCTACCTGTCGACAGTGGGGATTCATAAGACCTTTTTTTTTCTAAATTCCCTAAATGTCTTTAATAATTCACATTCAATAGATTACAAATGTGTTTGTTTTTGGTACCTTAAGTAATTCGATATTTAAGATTCCAAAATATGCATTAAAAAGCAACTGTTGCATAGATCATGAAAGTATTTTACGGGAGTAAAAAAAGTGCCGAGTCTTATAGCATAAGACAAACCTCGGTTCATTGGAAAGCATGGAAAGATGTAAAAGTCTTTAGCTTTAAGGCGAATATTGACTCTGGCACTTTCGTATTATTTTGGTGTTGTTTTCTTAGTAGTGAGTTACCACTACAAAAAAAAACCGAAATAACAAAAAACACAACAATAACAAAACGTGATAAATTGCCAAATAAATTCTTCCAAGTTGCCAAGTCTTCAAGTAAATAATTAGCTGATCGGTTATTTTCTGTTAATTTATGAAAATTCTTTTAAAACAAGAGTTTTTATACAAATTAAATAACAGTAGACGAAGAGTTATTGAAGGAATATTTTAGTGAAGCGAATTCTGTATTTATTGAAACGATTCGTGGGCAATCTATCCCATCTATAGACATAGTTTGATTACATAAACCTTTTCTGCAGTGCCAACAATAAAATTATAAAGCTTCAACTCAATTGGATAAGTGACGTCCGAATATATTTTATTGTACTAATTGGATGGACGGATAATTGGTCAATGTTTACCAGAAGTATTACAGTCGATTTCATGTCTCAATCTGGGTTCTCTCTGAGTTATCATCTCAGAAAACAGATTTTCGAAACAATCAGTGTAATGTATTGTTTTTCTTTAAACTTAAGTTACAAAAAGCAATTATATTTCATAAAATACCTACTTGTTACTTAATTAATATTCAAATTTGAATGTACGTGGCTATTGATAGTTATTAATCAAAACTGGCTGTGGTAGTGTAGGATTATTGAACATTTGATTAATAACTTAGAACTTATTGTAATTAGGATTTAATTATTAATAATAATAAAAATAATCACTGGTCAATATTTGACCGCGAATGATGTACGTTTTAAAAATATAAAAGAAAATATGTTCATAGAATTTTGCGAATTATAGTAGGAAATAACTGCCCTATACTGTTGTTAAATAGTTCATCTTATACCCGTACTTTAAGACGTGAACTCGAAACTTCCTCGAACTCTACTCAATCGAGAATACCTTTACGCCCTCTCCGATAAATCGTCACTTATCTAGTGCTGGAAGCCTCTTCTAACTTAACTCACTGGACCCGATTTTCCGCCCTACTCATATGGTAATCAGTAAGCTTTGATTTTTCAGCCACCGGCCCCTAACCTGCTACTCTATTGAGTCTCCAGCTAATCGGTATACATAAGATACGACTCGATGATAGGCAGTCAGCGTAGCTCAAGGACATTGGCCATGACATTGCCTACTGCCCCGAATTCTTTCAAGTCCCGTTTCATTGTCTTTCTCGTCGTATCACTGAAGAAGCACCGTAGATGTCAATTCATTTAAGACCCCGTTGACTGAAGCCAAGGATCGGGGTAAAGTCTTAAAGTATCGCAGTTAGAAATACAATCGCTCGGACTATTACTTTCTCTCTCATTACACAAACTTTAAAATATCTCTTCAGAGCGTGTCCTGATTTATTTCTCAAACGCAAATTTCTCGCAATAGAATTAATTCTCGAATAATGTTTTGATTTTATGAAAGTTAAATTGCTCTTTTCCAGACATCTCTCACGTCACAATGTCTCTTTTACATCTGTAGGTACATTTAAAGAGTGGCCTGTACTAGGTTTAGATCACCAAACAATGACCAAAGATATGGTAGCGTTGTTACACTGTGGAGCACAAATTCAAACATGCGCTTTTGAACCTGTACCGGTCAAAAATCTATAATATTCTTAGGGCGATTCAGATATTGCCATATTTTTTTATATATGGCAAAAACCCTACTCTTACCTCTTAATACGTGTTCACAAAATTTTGAAGTGAAACTTCTTTATCGGCGTTGGAAAAAAATTTACCGTCACATTTTTCGGTTACGCGTCACATTTTTCCGTTACGCGCCATCTTTTTTGTATTCATGTCTATGATAATAAAATCCTTTTGTTTAAACTTTATCTAATTTAACTTTTTTGTATTCATGTCTATGATAATAAAATCCTTTTGTTTAAACTTTATCTAATTTAACTTTTTTGTATTCATGTCTATGATAATAAAATCCTTTTGTTTAAACTTTATCTAATTTAACTTTATTTAACCAATTTCTAGAAAGTTGCATGTAGATCATTTTTCGAAAAATAAGGCCATAAAGAAGTTTCACTTCTTACGTGTGTACACTAGTACACGCACACATTTTTATTTTTTACTAAAACAACAGATCTTTTGCAAATTAATAGTATTTACCATTTATTGCTTCCCTTCAGGAATAGTGTTTTTATGCCTTGTTTATTCTAGAAATAAGAAGATATACAGGGTGTCCCGTAAACTTATCTAAATCGAAACACCAGTCAATTTTTTAATGGTAGTAGAGTCTAGTTACACACAATAAGATACCACCACCGTATTTATTACCTACCGGGAAATAATTTTCATTTCCAGTGCAAGGATCACATAAGTCAGTTGATCGTAATCGCAACCTCGACTTTGTGTTTCAAAACGAGTAGCTCCATTCACATGAAAATATTAGTAGGCTTTACTACTTAGCACCAGATCGACCGGATTTACTGTATATATATCAGATATTCATTCACTAAAGCGATGCCATATCATTAGAATCTCATAATTTCCGAGTTTTAGAAAGTTTATGGAACACCCTGTACCTAAAGCAGGTTAGTGATTTAAAACAGTATTTCAAGCTAAAAGAACGATTTGCTGCTCAAATCTGAAAACTGATTTAGTGACAAACGATTGTTGTGAATAAAAAGTATTTATGCTCATTTAACTTAAGTAACATTTTCCAAAACTATTAGACTATCTTATAAGAGGTGTTTCGAATAATTCATTGTTGTAATGTTATTAATGTAATTTTAAGACTTTCATTATAAATAGGATAACTATTGAATCAAATAAAAGTGTGTTATTCAAAGAGAGTTGTGATTGAAAAATATTTCTATTCTTATCCCCGCCTATTTCTGCCGTGAAGCTGTAATGCGTTTCGGTTTTAAGGGTGGGGCAGCCGTCGTAAAAACTGATACTTTAGAACTCATGTCTCAAGAAAAGTGTCGGCATTTACGTTGTCTATGGGCTCCGGTAACAACTTAACATCAGGTAGGCCGTGAGCCAGTCCACCAATCTAAGCAATAAATAAATAAAAAGAGCGAGTACGTGTTGTTACGGAATGTCGATCTGATTTTTCCCTACCTATTCGCTGTTAGATTAGATCTATTCCAACGACGCCCGGACGAGACAACTCACCGGCTTAACCTGCGAGAATTTGCTAACCCTAGCAAGAGCAGTGCTTCGCAGAATCTACTACCCGATCTGAATCGAGACCCACTGAGTAGATCCGGCGAGAAACTCAGTGGGCGTTGATCTGATATTAAAATTAACGCAACGGGAATATCTGCTTTACATCAAAAGTGTCCAGAAATAACATTAATTTTGAAACTCTTATATAAACTTATGTTTCGTTAGTTAAAAAACGTGTTTTTTGTGATTCCGTTCTGTAACTAGAGGTTTCTTTTAAATATATTCTTCTGAAGCCTTTTGATCAATATAATTCGCCTAAGACGTAACTAAATTTTAAAATCATATTCGTTTTTATTATTGTTATAAGCTTAGCATACAGAAAATTGTATTTCAAATATTCACCGGTATTTTATTTATTTGTAATAATAAACTCTTCAAACACTCTGTAATTTGAAAAATAAATGTTGAAATTTACTTTGCGTAACGAACTGTATGGCTCGTTTAAGGATAACTCGATGCTTGTAACGACATTGAATAACCGTATCTAATAAAAGTACTTGAAGTTATTTGTGTTTTATTTGAATACGATGTCACTAGATGTCTTGATTTTACCACTAACGGAATAATTTGGAGTTAAACGCATCAATTACATCTATTTATTATTGACTAGCGACCCGCCCTCGCTTCGCTTCGGAAACATTAAAACACACATGAAACCAAAAAAATAAAAAAAAATAAAAAAATAAAAAAAAAGTAGCCTATGTTCATCAGGGACAATGTCGGCTTCTAATGGAAAAAGAATTTTTCAAATCGGTCCAGTAGTTTCGGAGCCTATTCGAAACAAACAAACAAACAAATCTTTCCTCTTTATAATATTAGTATAGATATAGATAATTGTTATCTATTATCAAAGTTCATATGCATAAATAGCCACCCAACTTGAGGCCGTAATCCCAATTCTATTTTATAACTGCTTCAATGATCTCACGCTTCAAATCGGAACAGTGACTGCTTCGCAGCAGAATTAGGCGTAAAATGGGATTTTCCGTGTATTCACAATGCCTTTTTTTGATTGCTTAGATGGGTGGACGAACTCACAGCCTACCTAGTGTTAAGTCGTTACTGGAGCCCATAGACATCTACAACGTAAATGCGCAACCCACCTTGAGATATAAGTCCTAAGGTCTCAGTATAGTTACAATGGCTCAACCGTTCAAACCAGAACGCATTATTAATTCGCAACAGAAATATGCAGGATTGTGGTATTTACCCGGGCGGGCTGACAAGGCACCCAAAACACCAGCAGTTTTAAGGTCTTCATGAAGAACATACAAAATAAAGATTAGAGAGAGACAGACAGAGAAAGAGAGAGTGAGAGAACATACATACTTTATTGCACACCAAAACACAGTTAACATCAGAAAACAGTCAACAGGCAGATACGTTTGTACAATAGGCGGTCTTATCGCTAAAAGCGATCTCTACCAGACAACCGTTTAATTACCTGAAATCCTGGACAGATAAAGATGCAGCAGGTATGTTGCGGTGTACTATTACCAACAAATTATTATATAAAATACATACATACAATAAATTTATATATACCGTTAAACACAATATGAAATCATCATATTTTGGTTCGTTGAAACCGATTTTTTATTATTTATTCTGATTTTTATTCTAATGTATAGGTTTTATGAAGTACCCGTTAGGTTGCAAACAGGCTGAGCCAATGTACATATTCCCTATTCGTTATTAAATTTGTCAGTTCGAGCGCGAATTAGCAGCCGGCCCGCCTGGCATTAATAAACATCAGGCCAGAGACGGAGAATACGACGAATTGTATTTATTATATCTGAATTAACATATGCGAACGGATTCCCCATTGCCACGAATATTTTACAACTAACTAGTTCATAACAGATCTCTTAATTCTTAACAGATCGATGAGGTCTATAAATCGAACTTTATTAAATACAAGCAGCACGCTCCGGCTCCGCTCGGGTCTTTAACAAAAAATCGGTTGTCTGTAAAATCGGTTTACTGACGATAGTTGAACGTGACAACGTCATAAGAAAATACGCCTCAGAGCGAGGTAACGCCGCATGAGTCATATTTTTTCGTGCGTGCAGCCGGCTCCATCGAATTATAAGACGTTGTCACGTCAAAACTTCAACGATATTTAACGTTGTTTTATTTTTTAAAATAAAAGAACACATATTGTGGCATAACTATATTATAATAGAAAGACATAATATGCTGTCGCAACACTTTCTGCAAATATTAATGTGTTCTACAAAGTCGTTATACATTATTTTATTCTATCATCAATAGTTTTCGCAGAGCACGCGATGTAAAGAGTATTTTAGGTAATTTTTACACCTTGGATTACATTATTGGAGTTTTAATAAGGATGCCTAGATTTTTTCAAAAAAGATTATAGTCTGTGTACGTCATCCGGAAATAGTGTAGCTTCCAAACAGTGAAAGAATTTTTCAAATCCATTCCGAACTTTCGGAGCCTATTCAATACAAACATCATTCCGATAGAGGCACCCGTCACGCGCGGACGTGCTCATCGACCACTCGATCGCCCGGCCTTTGTTCGCCCGGCTTTTGTTAGCCCGGCCATTGTTTGCGCGGCCTGTGTTCGTGGTACATCTGCCGACCAAGTGTTTTTCCTGGAAGTTTTTATTTGTTTGTTTCCTTTTGTTATTTCTGTGTTCGTGGTACATCTGCCGACAAACTGTCTTCCTGGAAGTGTTCAATTGTTTTGTTTCTTTTTGTTATTTCCGTTTTGTTGTGATTTTTCTTTGTCCTGCAGTAACCGTGCCGCATCGCCACCTGTGTTCAATAGAACCGCTCAGGTCCGAGAAGTTGGGGCCTCGCCGCAAGGCGAGTGTTTTCTAAGACCCAGGGTAGCCCCACCTGGGCACGTAGACATCATGGACGCTGTATTTGCGGAATTTCTCCGGCTTCGCTACCCAAAGCTCACTTCCGAGTTTCAGGCCTTCAAGGCCGATCACAC